GCTGAAAATTTTATCATAATTCACTGGTGGAACAAATGGGCTGTTCAGAGCATCTCTTTATCCCAAGTATTTCTTCTTGAAAATGTATAAAGATTCACTGTAGTCATTTTTAATGCGTCAGAATAAAAATTACAGGTGAAAACACTTGGAGATATACTGACAAAATAAAATAATTTCACTACTGTCATTTTTTTAAAATGAAAACATGGATGTTACGCTGGTTTTTTGTTATTTATAACATTTGCGTATTCTACAAAATATGTAACATTGAAAACAGGTCTGCAGATTGTACAAAATACTAGTTATCTTATATCATATGTCACCTAATAGTTATGAAGAGGGTTTTGTACCAAAATATGAATTGGAAAGCTGTAATTTGTCCTGCAGTTATCGGCCTGCATTAGAGGGGTATGATAAAGTGTGCTGCTTAAAAGCTAACATTCACAGCTCTGTGCATTTGACAAATAAAAATGTATATTGAGATGCTATTAGATCTGTAAAGCCACTGTTCTAGTTTTCTGATATAATGATTTTGTAGCTTTGTGCATAGCCCTGTTTTTTCATGAGTAGTTATCTGTTTTCATGACAGGTGGTCACTAACTGCCAAGAGAAAATCCAGCATTGGTGAGTGAAAGATGGTTTTATTACTTTCTGAAATATTAATGGGGTCACCTGTTTGTATTTAAATAAAGCATATTTTTGGTATTCCATAATTAAATTCTAGTAATCTCCATTTTGAGTCCTTTTGATACGAATTTATATTGTCTTTACCATTTACTGAATTATTTGTTCCCTGAGCTTCTTAACTTGTGCCACCATTTGTGTTTAATTGCCTTTATTTTCCCTGTTTTTTTCTTCTTCTTTTTAAGTTAAAATAATATTACTGCTATCATGAAGTGGAAACTGAGACATTTTTGAACCTGACTAATCACAGAGAGCTCTATTTTGGGACTATTTTTAATATATGTAGTAGAATAATAATTAGAATCAGCTGTTTTAGAATAATGATGGAAATATGCACAGGTACATTTTCCCAAAGTTTGAAAAATCTAATTAATTGCCTGCACCTCAGAGCTTGCTTTATAGACCGCACATTTTTACAGTGCAGAGAGAAAGCTAGCTT